CCAAGTTTGAGGTAATATAGCAACACCTTGTTCTCAAAATAAAAATTTTTGGGCCGGGGATTTAGCTCAGGGGTACCATGCCTGCCTTACAAGTGCAAGGTCCTGAGTTCAATCCCCGGTACCAGAAAAAATAAATAAAAATTTTTAAGAAGGGCTGGAGATGAAACTTAATGGTAGAGCATTCCTGAGTTTGATAACCTGTGTCAGGGAAAAAAAGCACCTCTATGGATCTAACCCTGTCAATAGCTCTGTCAAACAGACTTGGCATGGTACCTGCATTTGACAGATAAAGAATAAGTCTGAAAGAAATGAAGTCGCTTTGCTAAAGCCATATGGCTGGTATGCAGTGAGGCTAGCATTGGCACCCAGCCTACTCTGTTTATGCACAGTGCTCACCAGAGCCTGAATTTCGGTTAGGACACATTTTGATGGCATGGCCCATCAGTGTCTGATAAATGACAACATCGATAGCAGAGATGTTAGGCAGGGAAAAACAATTTAGAGACTACATTTTTTAATGCTCAGTCAGCCCTAAGAGGACAATTATATAATGAATTTAGAAAAGTTAGCCACTTCCAAAGACTTACTGTAATGGCAGAAATGATATTTGATACCAAGAAAAAGAACTGAGTATACTACACTGCTTAGCATTTCTATCAGCTGTAAGTTTGTTTTTAGATACAACTCCCATGCACCCTCAAACCCCTGCCTCATTCATTTAACTAACATTAAGTTCTAAACACATACTGGTCACTGGCCTCAGTACTGGTAACACAGAAGCCCATGCTATAGAGGAAGATCTGGTGTGAAAGGTGATATGTGCTTTTTTTCTTTTTTGGTACCAGGTATTGAACTCAGGACCTTGTGCGTGCAAGGCAAGGTACCACTGAGCTAAATTCCCAGCCCAAAGGTGATGTTGCTTTAAGTAAGATGGTCAGGGGAAGTCTGTCTGACAAAGAGACATCTGAGCAGGACTTTAAAATAATTTAGAGAGTGAGCCATACTTGGGAACTTGGCTCCCGGCAAACAGCAGGTAGAAAGGCTTTCTCTCAACCAGGAGAGAAAATTCTGTCATTCTTATAAGTGTAGATGAGGGGCTGGGGATTTAGCTCAGTGGTTTTGCTGCCTGCTTCGCAAGCGCAAGGACCCGAGTTCGATCCCTGGTATCAAAAACAAACAAACAAACAAAAGTGTAGATGAGAAAACAAATTGTCTCATCCCCATATGATCCACAGGATGAATGATAGATCTCAAACATACTCCCAAGATTAGAGAGTTAGTTAAGAGTATTTTGTACCCACATGATTATGTTTACTAAATATATTTCTGATCTGGATGTGGTAGCACATACCTATAATCCCAGCACTAGGGACAGAGGCAGGATGATCACGAGTTAGAAGTCAGTTTATCCTGAGCTATGTAGCAAGACTCTATCTCAAAAGAATAAAATAAAATAACATTTCTAATAAACAGTAAAACCTACTTGCTCTGTTGCCTAAACAATGTCAAATGTTTACAAAATTGATCCTTTTATTTATTCATCTTATTTACCATCATGTCAATCCATGTAATGTTTTCATCTTTGTTCTTTAATAAGTTGAAGTTTTACCTATGGGCCTTACTTAGACTACAAATCAAGGGGGCCTTGAAATATCTGGTTGGCCAGGAAAGAACAGTCAGAAGAGAGGTCTTTTTTTTAGATGGATGTTTGGTGGGCTGAATTGCCTTTTGTTATGTGGAAGCCATGCTTCTTGTTCCAGATGTTTGTCCTCTTTCCCCTTGGATTCTTGTCTGTGCAATGGAAATAGAATTCATCAAGGTATTGGGCATTTTGGGTTGGCTATTTATCTCCAAGCCCGTAAATCGGTGACTTTTAGCCACAACCATGTCACTATCTTATGATTCTCTGGGTCAACTGAACTTAACAGTGCTGTTCTTCTGCTGGTCTTACTGCATATGTCTCAGGCGGTTGCAATCAGAAGGCAGGCAGGGCTAACATCATTTGGACATTTGCCAGGGATGCAGGAATGACTGTGATTTTTCTCCTTTTCCATAAGGTCCAAGGGCTTCTTTTGTCCATGTGGCCTTTCTACATGGCTGCCTGGACTTCCTCATAGCATGGCAGCTGGATTCTAAGAAAATGAAGCAGAAACTGCCATTCCCCTGAAATGCTGGAACTACAACTGGCACAACATCACTTCTGCTACATTTCTTTTGGTTAACACAGGCCACAGACAGTTCCTCAATGAGGGAAGGGACTGCACAAACACAGATGGCCTTCAACTTGTGATGGTTCACTATATGATTTCCTATTTTAAGATGCTCTAAAAGCAGACCCACACAACCACTGTGTTTTGCTTTCAATAGTCAATAAATTACATGATATTCAACACTTTATTATAAAATAGGTTTGTGTTAGATAATTTTCCCAACTGTAGGCTATTGTAAGTATTCTGAGTACATTTAAAGTAACTTACACTACGATGTGTTTTTTTTTTTTTTTTTGGACTATGATGTTTTCATAGGTAGTTGCACTAAATGGATTTTTATTTTCAGCTTCTGATGAATCAGCATGTTCAAGGCTGCTGAGCACGAAGGAGCCATGGGTGTTTGTGGAATACAATATTCTAAGTAGCATTTGAGAGAGTAGAGAAAGTGTCAGAAAAAACTGGACAGGAAAGCTGGGGTGTGATCAATAAAGTGCAGGCTCTACCTGGTCAAGCCCAAGGGTAGAGTACCCAGATTTCCCTATCTGCCTAAGACGTCAGACTCCAACTGCCGTGAATTTGTCAAAGTGCAAACTCAGAGAGAACAAGACTGTCCTCATTTCAGACAACAGCCACAATTCTGGGCAGTAAGGTACCCCTAGAAACCGTCCCTCTTTAAGACCAGCTGGCTACAAATGTAGAGTGCCTGTGACCACCCTCAGGTGAGATAATTCACTAGAATGACTCACAGATCTCAGGAAAGTGTCATATTTATGATTATAGTTTTATTGTAGCAAAAGAACACAAATTAGAACAAGCCAAAAAAAAAAAAAAAAAAAAAAAAAACAAGCAAAAAAAAAAAAAAAAAAAGAACAAGCCAAAAGAAGAGAGGCACAGAGCAGAATCTGGGCTGGATCCAAATGTGAAGCTCTTGTGTCCTCCAGAAACTGTCATCCTCCTGGTATCAGTGTGTGGTGATTCACACAGAGCACTGCCAAGCCAAAAAGCTCACCCAAGCCTCTGGTGCCCACAATTTTTACTGGAGTTTGGTCAGTCTGCATGGCTGACCTTTGATCTCCAGCCCCGCTAGAGGTTAAAACTGATACAGAATGTCCCAAAGACCCCACCTTACTAGACTGGTGCCCAAAGCCCCCACCACAAACGTGATGAGATGGGCTGCTGGCAAAGCCTCCCAGGCAAACAAAGATACTAATTTCATAAGGTCAGATAATTCAGGGACTCTGAGGTCACATGACAGCAGCTAAAGGCACAGGCTAGACCACCCTTCAAGTGAAGCCTGACCCTACCTGTAGTATGAAATACTTCTTAGGAGTACTAGTTTGGTAGTTGGCCTGGGTTTGTCTGCCCTGTGTGGTTGTAAACTACACACAGCACCTATATTACACCAGGCAATCCTTACAAAAATCCTGAAAGGTAGCAGATTATCACCATTTTACATACAAAGAAACGGGGGCTAAAGCCTAACTGATTTGTCTGAGGTTACAAAGACAGTAAGTAAAGCTAGAATTTGAGACTTAGGTTCTCCAAGTCCAATCCTTAGGCACTCTCTTGTTTAAAAAAAAAAAAAATATATATATATATATATACACATATATACATATATGTACATGTATATATACATATATACGTATATGTATATATATGTATATATACAGTAATTTGTCTTAGAAGAAAAGGCCCTTTAGGCTTATTGTCCTTTGTATTGACTCAAGAGGTCTTGCCATGCCTTGTGTTCTTTGAAGGCCCCCCCCCCGCCCCCAGAAGTCCTTCTCTGCCTGTTCTGGCCCTGGTGATGGCCTTCCTCCAGGGACTCTCCCTCTGGACATCTATGACCACCTCTGACCACCCAAGGGGAACAAAGGAATTTCACAAGGGGGAAAGACAGGGTCCTCAGCTGCCAAAGAGGTGTTTGGAGTGTTAGAGCCCCACCCACATAGAAGAGAAAAAACTTCCCAGGCAACACAGTTACACATCCTGCAAGGTGCAAAAGGTAACAGAAAGCAAAGGCCTGGTTAGAGATACACAGTGCACCCCATGAAGCAACACCTGTGGGTCCAGATACCCCTGGAGAGCACCAGATTTCCTTTGCCCCAGAACAAAAGACTTCCTCCACTCCAAGACAAAAATTTTCCACTTCTCCCAACACTATTCCTCCCCTACCAAAACTCCTCTATAAAGTTTCCTTTTGCCCAAGCCCCAGGGTCAATGGCTTTGTCACCCTTGACTAGCCTGCACCCAGGCTGAAAATAAAACCTGACTTGCTGCTTCACTTTTGTCTGCTCTGGTGGTCTTGGTTTTGCCTTGGTTTACCCTAACATCCGGTGCCAAAACCCAGGAGACGAGACCCCCACCCAGGAGGGTCCAGTCTCCCTTCCTGGACCACTCTGGGCTGACTGATGCCACCTCCGACATCAGACCTTCAGCCCTTCCCTGGCATGGCTCTGCTGCTAGTCCAGAACTCCTCTTCAGGTCAGGTAAGTTCCTTTTTCCTCTCTTCTTTCTTTTTCTGACTCCTTTTTTCTCTATGCGCTGGAGGTCTAGCTGGGCTGACTCTCAAGTCATGCTCCCAAACCCAGCTCTAGTCACACTTACCTCCGGGAGTCTAACTCCCTGGTGGTCTCCAAGTTTTGGGGATACCCAACTTGGCTGCCCACCCACTTCATTTGGCCTTTAAAAATTGATTGGAGACATCTTCTCTTTTTCTTAAGTCACCTCTGTTTTGTCGACCTCAGATCTCAACATGGGCAACTCCTCCTCTTCCATTCCTCTCTCTTCCCTACTTGCATATGTTTTAAAGACTCTCAAGCTGCTTTACCTTTACCCCAACCTGAAGCCAAAGTGCCTAATTTTCTTTTACTATACAGCCTGGCCACAATACAAATTAGATAATAAATCACATTGGTCTGAAAAATGGCACTTTTGACTTTTCATTTCTCTGACATCTAGACAATTATTGACACCAGCTGGGAAAATGGTCTGAGGTCCTGTAATCCAGTCATTCTTTGCTCTCCACTGTCTCCCCTCTGTGCCTCTTGTGAGCCTGAACTTCTTATCTCAACCCCTCCATCAGCTCCCTCCCTTCCTCCAACTTTCTCCCTTCCTTCCAACTGCAGCCTCCCTCCCTCTTCAGCTGCAGCCACCAGAACTGCTCAGCTTTCTTCAGGACCTCCTACTGTAACTTCCTCTGCTATGGCCCCTACTCTCTCCATTTATCTAACATTTCCAGTCCTCCTCCTTATCCTGACAAGACCATTCCAATCCCATCTCACACTAGGTTCAAACAGCAGTTTGGCGTTTTTTCCCTACTCCCTGCTCCTCGGTTTTTGCTTCTGGAGGTGGCTTGGGTGGAGGGAGTAGTTCTGAGTTCATGCCCCTTTTTCTTTGTCAGATCTTTCTCAGATTAATCTGTGCCTGGGTTCCTTCTTCACAGATCCCAATAAATATGTTCAAAAATTTCAATATCTCATTCCATCTTATGACTTAACCTGGGAAGACATAAGTGTCAACCTTTCTTGAATGCTCTCAACCGAGAAGCAAAAATGTGGTTGGTCCCTGTCTCAGACTTATGCTGTCAAACAAAGGTGGCTTTAGTCCAGTTTAGAGGACAGAGCTACAACCATTCCTGGGCCAAGCCCCAATAAGATTTCAATCACATTGATAAACAGGGGCACGTTCCTGCAAGGCAATGCTGAGACTAGATGGTAGCTTGCCTGGTTGAGGGCCTAAGAGAGGCAGCCACACACCAGTTAATTATGACAAATTAAAAGAAATAATTCAAACATGAGATGAGAATCCAGCCCAGTTTATGTCTCGCCTAGCCTCCACTCTCAGAAAGTTTACTGCTCTAAGCCCTGAGAGTCCAGAAGAGCAACTTAACTTAAAGATGCATTTTATTACCCAATCTGCTCCAGATATTCACAGAAGGCTCCAAAAAATTAAATCTGGCCCTCAGGGCCCTATTAAGAATTGATCAATCAAGCATTTAATATTTTTCACTAGTCCTGATGAGGCTGCCCACCAAATGCATATTTCTGAATTATAACTATTTGCATCCACCATAAGAAACCCACCAAAAGGGCTGAAAGCCAATCAGGGGCCAAATAAAACCTCCAGAGATCCAAAGAATGGATCCACTCCCTTGGGACCCTGCTTTAAGTGTCACCAGATTGGCCACTGGGCCAAAGACTGTCCCAACCCAGTACCAACTCCCAAGCCATGACCCACATGCAGAGTCCCTCACTGGAAGTCAGACTGCACTGGGGTGGCTGGGCCTGCCCCAGGGGTTCCCTCCCAGGGCACCTGCTGGGTTCAGGTGTCCTCAAACACCTGATCAGTTAGACCTCAGATGACTGACATGCCCCAGAGGTCTCAGATGCCCCTTGGACCATCACAGCCACCAAACTCTGGGTAGATCTTGCAGTGGAAGGTAAGACTGTTTTATTTCTGATCAGTACAGGGGCAACCCATTCCACCCTCTCTTCATTCTCAGGATAGCTAACTTTAGCCTCAAATACTGTTGTAGGAATTGACAGCACTGTGTCCAGGCCTCTCAAAACCCATTTGCTCTTATGCCAAGTGGGAAACCAAATGTTTATTCATTCATTTCCAGTCATTCCCACCTGTCCAACCCCACTCATGAGACAAGATATTTTAACAAAACTCTCTGCCAACCTCACTATTCCAGGCTCCGCTCCCCACCCTATCTCCACTCTTCTCATACCTACTGCGACGCCTTCCTCCTATCCCTTATCTTCTCCCTCCCTCAACCCCCGCATATGGGACATCTCAACCCCGTCATTCAACATCATCTGCCCTTCAGCATCCCCCTAAAAAGAATCACCCCTACTCTGCCCAGCATCAATACCCCCTACCTGATCCAGCCCTCCGAGAACTAAAATCCATCATTACTCACCTTCTCAAACATAACTTCCCGATTCCCACTAACTCCCTGGCCAGTCACCTTCTTATCAAGACAGCTAGACCCCACTGTTATAGCACAGCCACCCTGTCTGAGGACAGCAGTGGCCATGGCAGCCATGCTACTAGAAGCCTTAAAAATCACCCACCACATATCCATTACCCTTTATTCCCCTCATAACCTCCAAAATCTGACCTCCTCTCACATCTACTCTGAGCTGTGAGGCTCCTACAACTCTATGCACTCTTCTCAGAAGCACCTACAATCACCATCACTTCAGGGTCAAGCTTCAATCCTTCCTCTTCCCTGATTCCCAAGCAGCCAGCAACAGGGACACTCCCAACCTGGGACCATGACTGTCTCCTCATATGCTTACACTGTAACCCCTTCCCACACATCTCAGATTTCCCTGTACAGGTCCCCAAATAGACTTGGTTCATAGATGAGAGCTCATATAAGGCTACTCACTCCACCAACAAAGGCAGGGTATGCAGTTGTCACCATAAACTCTGTAGTCAAAGCTCAAGCCCTGTGCCAGCATACCACCTTCCAACAGGCTGAACTCGCAGCTCTAACCCAAGTGCTCACCCTAGCAAGAGGATACAAAGTCAACATATATAGACTCAAAATATGCCTACCATATCCTCCACAACCACTCTGCAATCTGGGCAGAAAGAGGATTTCTCACAATAAGATCATCCATCATAAACTCCAATCTAATAAAGGGTCTCCTGAAGGCCGCACTCCTACCTACTCAAGCCAGAGTCAACCACTGTAAGGGCCACCAAAAGCCATCAGACCCCATAACACAGGGAAATTCTTTTCCAGCCAAAACTGCCAAAGAAGTTACCATTTCCACAAAAACCTTACCCACAAGCCCCAAGGGCCAATACTTTACCCTAGCAGGCATCACCCCCACCTACTCACCCCAAAATATCTCCAAATACAAAACATTCCCCATGACCGACAGGTGGTTTTTAGGCCAAGGAAAATTTCTCCTCCCTGCCTCCCAGAGCCATCAGATCCTCTCCACAACAGCTTTCAGAAAGGATATAAGCCCCTTGGCCAACTGCTACAGACACTCATATCAGGCCCTTCCTGGAAAACCCTACTAGAAGAAATCACAGTACACTGTTCCATCTGCCACTCAGTACCCCCCGCAAGACTTCCTTCAACCCAACCCACTAAACTCGAGGATTGACCTCTGCCCAAGACTCACAGATAAGACTTCACACACATGCCATGAGTTAAAAAATGTAAATACCTTCGAGACACATTCACAGGATAGACTGAGGCCTTCCCCACAACCTCAGAAAAGGCAGAATCAGTCATACAATGCCTCCCGGCTCACATAATACCTCAATTTGGCCTCCCCACCTCTATCCAGTCAGACAATGGATCTGCTTTCATTGCCCAAATAACCCAGGGTAATCCCTTAGGGTCATTTGGAAACTCCACATCCCCTGCTGGCCCATCCTGAGGAAAAGTAGAGAAAACCACTAGTTAAGGGCCAGCTCACCAAACTCTCCATACAACTGAAAAAAGACTGGGTCTCCCTACTCCCTATTGCCCTCCTCAGGATTAGAGTGGCTAAGATAAAAGGGGCAGAAAGATGCTGTTAAATTCCCTTGTTTCTTTGCTACCTTCAGTCTGTCATAAACTGTTGTCCCTCTGCCGTGTGCCACCCTGCTTGGAGCCAACCAATTATGGACTGAAATCTCTACAAACTGTGAGCTAAATAAACCTTCTCCTATTAACTTTGGGTATCAGGTATTTTGTTTCAGCAATGAGAAAAGTAATTAACTCTCTCTCTGTGAAACTGGATATAGATCTTTGAAGTAGTTTATCTTTCCCAGCAGCACAATTATAAACTCTGTCAGTAGAGGGAGCTTGGGAGCAGTTCTCACATTGGTTTTAGGGTTGCACCCTAACCAACCTCCTGCAGAGCTGGCTTCTGTCTCCATTGTCTGGACCCAAATGGTTTTGTCTTTACTGACTGGAGGCATCTTTTTCCAGCTTTCCACTAGCATGGTGGCAGGGTAGCCAGGAGCCCCAGACAGCCTGTGCTCTTGCCAAAGACTCTGTCTCTCTTTGGGGCTCACACTGCCTTTGTCAATCATGTGCCTAGGTTCCAGAGAGAATGCCTCAAATGTACCAGGTCCTAGGGAAGGCCAAACTGCCCCAGCCACAAATGTTGACCAGGCTTCCATTGATGATCCTGACAGACCCAATTGCCAACTTTCAATTTTCATTTTAATTCAAAGCTTCTCAAATTTCACTGTGCACAGCATCTCCTAGGGATGTTGTAATGTGTAGGTTCTGATTCAGTGGCTCTGGGATGGGTCTGAAACTCTGCATTTCTAACAAGCTCTCAAGGGAATTAGAAGCTGTAGTCCACAGACAATCCTTAAGAGAACAAAGGTGTCTGCTTATTTTGAACACATTCTGAAATATAAGCAGAAGGGCAGTCCTATTTCAACATCTTAGTCCAGGTTTAGCATGGACACAGTATAGCTTTTGTCCTGCAATGCAACATTTTGAAGGATCTAAGTATACCACAGGCCCCTGCTGGAGCCTCAGTAAGTACTCCACCATATATTTTGAAGTAATAATGGGTCCACACACTTTAGGACTGTTCTGATAATGTTTGTCTTTTGCTTGCACCAGTCTTTAAGGAAAGAGACTATGTCCCACTGAAATCTGAGCTTTTAGCTCAATGCTTAGCAGTAATGCGTATTAGGAGAGCACAGTCAAGGCAGATTGCCCACACCCATGAGCCCAGCTGTCCTGCTCACAGAAGCATTCAGGCCATAGGAACACAGGGCAGGGAAAGCATCTACATCATCAGGCTGGCATACAGATTAAATGAACAGATAACTAATGTCTAGAACAATGGCTGGCACCTCGTAAGCACCACATATGATTCAATTGTGATTATCAATGAAGCATTTGATCATATTTCTCAGCTTCTGGTCTATTAATTAATTTGTTGCATTTTTACTTTATTTTTAGTACATGCAAAATTATTTTCCACAAACACATGTATGCAAACAAGAAATTCATTCATCCAAACAGCAAATATTTACTGAATGAAAGGTGCTAAAGAGGCCTAACGCCTCCCACTTGGCCTTTACCCAGGTATTTCTCTCTGCATGCAACTGAAAGTAATAAAATTACCTGTTGTTAAACTCTGGGTTGATTTGTTCTGTGAATTTCAAGTCAACTTGGAAGATTTCAGTGTCTTTTTTTTTTTTCTGGTACCAGGGATTGAACTCTGGTTCTTGCACTTGCACAGCAGGTGGCAAAACCACTGAGCTAAATCCCCAGCCCCCCTTTTTTTTTTCAGTGTCTTTTATATTACTGCTCATGAAACTTCTTTATTAACTCAAAGTAATGACATTCTGTATGCAGTTAAACTTTGCTGCTTTTCCATTGGTGGGAGTAAACAAACACTGGACCTTATATATAATAATCAATGGTTTTATTCAGCATCCACATTTCATTATCTTTATGGGGTACTTTATTTTTCTACACTACTTGGATGTGTATGTTCTGTTTGATATTATATTACTAAATGATGTTTTCCCATCTTAGATTATTAGATCAGTCTATTAAGCTTACCACATTAAACACAGTGTTTTAAATAACTCATGCTAATGTGGTAGGGCTGTATGTCAGGAATGCATTTAAGCCTGCAAATCTCCCAGCAGGAACATGGCCAGTGAAAACAGGCTGCTTCATATGCTACTATAAAGTCTACAGTGATCAACAGCTCCTTCAGAAACCTATGGCCTGGTAATTCCAGCTAGAGACTACTGATTCTAATTCTCTTTCCATGCTTCTATACAGGAGCAACCAGAACTGACTCACAACTCTTCTGGGCATCTGTGATTTGGAAATGAGGATACTGTGCTCACAGATGTGCTTTCAGAACTGTCAATGGTTGGCTATGCTAGGAAGAAAACAGGGAGACTCCAGATGTCCAGTGGGAAGAGGTCTTCTCTCAAGAGCAGATGTTTTTATGATGTTGTAATTTGGCATAGGCAGCTTAAAGACGTGAAAAACAATATTGGCTTGAAGACTGCTTCTCAAAGTGTGGTCTCTGCTGCACATGGAGATGCCAGGGCACAAAACAATCTTTGAAGTGTCAAAACATGAGTCTACTGTCTATTATGCCTGATTCCAAATGATGATGGTGATGATGATGATGATGATGATGATACTAATAACACTGAAAAATCACAATAATTTTTATTGAGGATTTACACTAGGGCAGGTACTGTGGCAAACACTTCCTACACATTATCTTGTTCAGCCCTCATGGTAACTCCCAGAGGTAGGGACCATGTTGTCTCCACTTTACAGATGAGAAGACTGAGGCACAGAAATAAGGAGCATGCCCAAGTTCAAATAGTTAATGAGTGGCACAGTCAGGACTCAAATCCTGGGTCTGACCCTAACCCTAAATTCACAATTTTGTGCAATTATTACCAGTATATCCAGAACATTTTCATTACTCCAAAAGGAAATCCTATACCTGTTGAGTTCTCTCCAATATCCTCTACCCTACCCTACCCCAGCACTAATGTGCTTTCTGTCTCTTATGAAATTGCCTCTTCCAGACATTTCATATGAATGGAATCAGATCACATGTGGCCTTTCGCCTCTGGCTTCTTTCATTTAGCACGCTTTCAAGGTTCATCTATGTTGTACCATGAGTCAATACTTCATTCCTTTTGAAGGCCAAATAATAATCTGCTATACTACATTTTATTTATTCATTCATCAGTTAATATATATTTCAGTTGTTTCAACCTTTAGCTACTGTGAATAGTGTCTTTGTGGACAGTACAAGTTTTTGTTCAGATACTTGCTTTCCATTTTTGGGGGGCAGAAAGTATAGGCATTAATCTCTGTTGATTCAAAGTAGGCAATGACCAAATAAAATACAGTAAATCCCAACCTCGGAACAAGTTCCATTCCAGGAGAATGTTCTTAAATCAGATTCATTTGTAATCCAACAAAGTGAGTGTTATATAGTATACCTGTGAATCTTGTACACCTGTGAATCTTCAAAGCTCAAATGTTCATAAGTCAGGGACTTACTATACCTGAAAATATTTGGTCATTCAACAAATATTTACTGAGAACCTTCTGTACAGCTGGTTGCCCGAACACCAAGCCCTATGAATACATACTGCAATGAATGGGACAGGAATTATCTCTGACCTCCTCAGGAATGACAGAAAGTTAAGTAAGGGAGTAAAACAAAGATCTTGCAGCCCTAAGGATTAAGAATTCCTTTTTCATTTTCTGTTAAAGGAAAGTCAAACCTGGTCATGAGGCACTTAAGCAAGATGCTCTAACAGGATGCTTCTGGATGGGAGAAACCAACAAAACTAAGGGTGGCTTAAGCAATAATGGCTTTTATCACCTTATGTAATAATACAACCTGTGGTAGGGATACAGGTCAGTATCACAGACCTAAGTTTTCTCTGTCCTTATGGTCACAATAAGGGACAGCAACACCAGACATCATGTTCTTCTCACATGACAAGAACCAAAGCACTGAAGTGAGGAAGAGCAGGGAGATTCCTCCTCAGTTCCCTCTGAGGAGCAAGAACTTCCCCAGAATTCTTCCCCTCCAGCCCATTCTGCCAGATTTGTAACACAACCTACTCCTCAGCAATTCCTGGCAAGAGAATGGAACTACAATAAATGACTTCAGATTAATTAAGGTTGAGCTGAATGGGATGGCACACACACCTGTAATCCCAGCACTTAGGAGGCTGAGGGAGGAGGATCACTGCAAGTGCAAGGCCAGCCTAGACTGCATAATGAGTTCAAGTCCAGCCCGAACTACACAGCGAGATCCTGTCTCAAAAAACCAGAAGAAAAAAAAAAGAAACTGTCTTACTAGGCTAGGTTATTTAACCTTGCCGGGGATGGTGGTGCATGCCTGTAATCCCAGCACTTGGGAGGCTGAGGCAGGAGGACTGCCAGCCTGGGCTACACAGTGAGCTCAACGCCAGCCTGAACTACTTAGAGAGACCTTCCTTGCTTCAAAAACGCAAAAACAAAAACAAAGGCAACAGGATCACCACTTTTGGTAATTAAGGCTGAACCTGGAAGGGGCTCCACTTACTCTGGGGCCTACAGCACCCGATCCCTGTGTAAAATGAAAACAGAAGAGTGATTGATTGTAGGACAGGCAGCCCAGGGCACCTCCACAGAGTCCGTGGCAGATTTGCTGGAGGCAGTCCCCTCTGAGCTCCAGGCCTGAAATGATCATCGCAAAACAAAAACAAAAACAATCCAAACCCAACCCTCAACGTGTTCAAGGCTGAGCTCATGGTTCTCATCAAAGTAGTCCTTTCCAAGGTTCCATCTCTTGGTGGCTAGCACTCCCATTCTTACATGCCCAAGCCAGAAAAATAAGTTCTCACACCCTCTTCCTTCCTCATCACCCATAAAGATGATCCGAGCACCCTGCCGAGTCCTGCTGATACAACTTCCAAAACAGCCCTTGAATTTACTCCTTTCACCTTCACTGCCCCTACCCTAGTCCAACTCACTATCATCGGTTCTTTCCTAGATTTCTGCAACAATCTTTTTTTTTTTTTTTT